AAAAAATGCTACTGTTTGGCTGAACTGGTAGTAAAAGAACAGCTACCATTCGGCTCAACCAGTAGTAAAAAAATGCTACTGTTCGGCTGAACCGCTAGTAAAAAAACAGCTACTGTTTGGCTGAACTTGTAGTAAAAAAACAGCTACCGTTTGACTGAACTGCTATTGATCACATGACCACGGGGATGCTTCAACGATCATAAGTGTGAAAAATAGTCGTAAATCCCTTTTATGGACATAAGTGTGAAAAATAATCATAAAGTCCCTTTTTTCGGTGACGTCGTAGCTTCAGTCACTACATGAATTGTGAGTCGAGCACTACCTGTAGGAGGCAGAGTAGCTGGGCAAAGGAGCCAGGTTTCCCATTGCGGTGCTCTTCCGAACACACACACAAATACACACAACGTAATTGGACTTACTTCGTGTCGAGTTCTATGAGATTTGTGTCGATGGGAGCCTCATTTTCGGGCACTGAAAACAAGAAACAAAGCCCATTTATCCGTTTTCCTTGGACAGAGGGCATAATCCCCACCCCACCCCCAGCCGACTTGATTCTTCAACCAGCCAGCCCCCTCAAGACAGCAGTCCTCATGAAGGTCCTTTCGGGAGGATGCTCATTTGCCTCCTGCCTAAGTCCACCCCACATTGTTGTGGTTCGCTGGCAACAGGTGCGGACGGCTGAGGTCTTGGAGAGTGAGGACTCAGGTGAGGGGCCTGCGTGGGAGGCAGGGATGGGGCCAGGACCCTCAGGGAGTGGAGTGCTGCCTTCGGAGATTGTGGAGGCTGGCAGCAATGAGGAAGAGGCCCCAGAGGAGCCTTTGCCCAATGCAGTTGCGCGCAGGGCTGCTCGAAGGAAAGAGCAGCTGCAGCAGCACGGGCGACTCAGGAGTAAGGCTGCCAGGTAATGGCCCCTCCCTGAGGAGATAAAAGCCAGCTGAGAACCAGGAGTTCTTTGCAGGAAGCAAAGAAGTTTGATACTCGAGCCTGGTGGACATTAGGAATATCTGAGTTGGTGTTTGGAGACTCTTTGCGTTGGAATTATTGCTTAGTAACTTTATCTGGTGTTTTTGGCAGCCTTGCAAAAACTTGGCAAGGCTCTTTCTTATCGGAGCTGATTGGTTTGAAGCAGCCTTTTACCCATGAAGGAACGGAATTAGTAAAGAATCATTAAAAGGTTGTGCTGTTGCCTTTGTCTCATGTTTGCTTCCTTGGAACCAAGTTCGGGTCAGAACACACGCGGACAAACTCACCTTCTCGGTACAACAACTCTTCCTTGGGCTTGGGATGCATCAGGGTGAACGGCAGCTCCACAGCCACATCGCTGGAAAGAAAGACGAAAAGTGAGGCAGCCATTTTGGATATGGCCAGCACCAGCCTCCTTCCTCGGGGGATGCCCTCTTCTCAAGACTTGGAGCCAGGGGTGAAATGCTACCAGTTCGGCCCGGTTCAACTGAACCGGTAGCAAAAATTGGCCGTCCCACCTGCCCCTGCGCTTTTCTGTTCTTTATTCTCTCAAGTGTCAACTCAAAAATATTTCTCTGGTCTTATAGAGTTGCCAGCGGAAAGGGAGTGTGTAAAGTAGTACATTCCTTAAATGTTTTCACAGATAATTTGCTAGGCAACCGAAGCTTCTGGCATGCAAGAGTATTACTGGACAGCATGATGGATGACTCTTGGCGAGGGATATGTCTGTTGTGGTTAGCCGGCAGCAGGTGAGGAGAGCGAGGACTCAGATGAGGGGCCAGGACCATTAGGGAGTGGACTGCTGCCTTCAGAGATTGTGGGGGCTGGCAGCAGCGATGAGGAGGTTCCCGAGGAGCCTGTGCCAAGTGCACGTGCGCGCAGGATTGCTCGCAGGAAAGAGCAGCTGCAACAGCACAGGCGACTCGGGAGTAAGGCTGCAAGGGAATGGCCGCTCCTTCAAGAAGATAAAAGCCAGCTGTGAAGCGGACATTCTTTGCAGGAAGCAAAGACGTTTTGAAACTCAGCCTTATGGACATTACAGTATCTTAAGTTGGTATTTGAAGACTCGTGTTGTCAACTATTTCTTATCTGTGATTCTTGGCAGTCTCGCAGAGTTTTGGCGAGATTTGTGCTTATCAAAGTTAATTAGTTTGCAGCAGCCCTTTAACTGGGGATTCGTAAGACTCATGAAAAGGTTTCTGTTTTCTTTGGTTATTATTTGTTTTATTGGAAAAGGGTTTGGGTCAGAACAGCGTCCCGTTGGAGAATATACACCCAAGGGGTAAGGGGAGACCAGGGGGTCAAGGGGGAAATGAATGATGTGCCTCGGAGTCGTCTGCACCCAGACAGCACCGGCATGTTCACTCCTAATAAATCTTCTTTAAACTCTGAAAGATGTGGCTAGAGACTCATGATTTGAATGGGGGAGAATGCCGGAGCCCTGACGCTCAGTGGATTGGCGTGGCAGAGCCTCAGCTGGTGTTTGGAAAGCTCGATGTGCGTGCGCGTGAAGTGCACAATCACCTATAGAAACCAATAGAATCTCACCACTGCCTGGAGATGCTGAGGATCTTGCCTGATCAAGGTTTCCCAAACTGGGTTTGTGGGGAATCCAAGTTGGCCCCAGTTTCCGGAAAGGCATTCAAAGAAACTTATCTTTTAAGGGAGGGAAAACTTGGCTTTTCTTGCTGTGAATGGTGTGAGATCCCGAGATTCTTTCTCCATGGGGGAATCGGAGAGGGAAGTTGCGGAAGCCATTTTGTTTTCAAATTTAATTTTTTTTAATGAAAGTGGGAGACTCTAGGGATCAGGAATCTCCAACCTTGGCCACTTTAAGCCTGGCGGACTTCAACTCCCAGAATTCCCCAGCCAGCAAAGCCTTACTTCTGCCATAGCTATATCAACTCAAGTTTCTAGTCCTTATTTCTAACACATAGCCTCCTTCACATGAAGGTTTCACTTTTGAGGGGATTAATTTATTACCCCTCCCAAAAGCATCTTTCCTGCTCCCCTAAACCTATCTTAAAGGTTACCTTGCTTTTAAGATCCTGCCTTACCTCTGCTACAGCTGTATCAACTCAAGTTTCTAGTCCTCATTTCTAACACACAGCCTCCTTCACATGAAGGTTTCGCTTGTGAAGGGATTATTCTCCTCCAGAGGACCAAGTTTTGACCCTGAAAGGGTGCTATTAAAACAATGTGTGTCAATAATTAGGATTTATTCTGATTATTTATGAGGGGTCCTGGGTGCTCTCTGAGATTGGTGGTTTTCTTACAGATGTTTGATAACCAAACTAGGGAACATCATCAGTGCTGTAGCAATGCAGTAACAGTATTAGTACCCCATCCCTTCTAGGTGAGGTATGGGATCAGGTCTCTGCATGCAAAGGCAAAGGGGTTCTGCAGAGGAGGTCAGAAAAGTCAAAATGGCTTCTCTGCTTAGCGACTGCAGCCGCAGCCGCATCCTTTCTGTGCAAAAAAAAAACCTGGACTGTTTTGACTTTCCCCATGGATGCCCCTGGTGGAGGGGAGGTTGCACTGCATTTGATCAGCACAGGTAGATATGAAAGGTGTTACCTGGAGGCAAGATCTCCCAGCAAGCTGGCGTTGGAAGGAGAGGAGAGAAGAGAATTAGAACTCAACAGAACAGAACAGAATAGAATACTGTAGAATAGGAGAACAGAATTATAATTATCATTAATTATAATCATAATCATAATCATCAGAATTAGGAGAATAGGAGAATTATAATTAGAACAGAACAGAGAAATAGAATAGAATAGAATAGAATAGAATAGAATAGAATAGAATAGAATAGAATAGAATTCTTCATTGGCCAAGTGTGATTGGACACACAAGGAATTTGTCTTGGTGCAAATGATCTCAGTGCACATAAAAGAAAAGATACATTCGCCAAGAGTCAAGAATAATCAGGTACAACACTTAATAATAGTCATAGGGTGCAATGAGCAATCAAATCATACTAGAATAGAATAGAATTATAATTAGGACTAGAATAGGGAATAGAATAAAATAGAATAGAGCAGAGCAGAGCAGAGCAGAGCAGAGCAGAATAGAATAGAATTAGAATAGAATAGAATAGAATTATAATTAGAAATAGAATAGGGAATAGAATAGAATAGAATAGAATAGAATAGGGAATAGAATAGAATAGAATAGAATAGGGAATAGAATAGAATAGAATAGGGAATAGAATAGAATAGAATAGAATAGAATAGAATGAAATTAGAACTAGATTAGGGAATAGAATAGGGAATAGAATAAAATAGAGTAGAGTAGAGTAGAGTAGAGTAGAGTAGAATTAAAATAGAATTATAATTAGAACTAGAATAGAGAACAGAATAGGGGATAAAATAGAATAGAATTATAATTAGAACTAGAATAGGGAATAGAACGGAACAGAACAGAATTATAATTAGAACTAGACTAGGGAATAGAATAGAATTATAATTGGAACTAGACTAGGGAATAGAATAGGGAATAGAATAGAACAGAACAGAATTATAATTAGAACTAGAATATGGAATAGAACAGAACAGAATAGAATAGAAATATGGAATAAATAGAATTATAGAGTAGAATTATAGAACAGAACAGAACTAGATTTCTTTATTGGCCAGGTGTGATCGGACACAGAAGGGATTTGTCTCTGGTGCAGAAGCTCCCAGTGTACATATACACAGCAAGCAATAGGGGGGGGTCACAGGGTTAGGGTTAAGGGTTAGGAAATACCACAGAAATTTCAGGCTCCATTGCGGCCGTAAGACTGGACTCACCCTCCTCGCGAGACCACCAGCTTGGCTTTCACTTTGTAGGAGACGATAATGCCCAGAACTTCCTTGTTGGCGCCTTCTCTCAACCTGGGGGTGGAAAGAAAGATTACAGCGGTTAGTTCACACATGTTGACTGGGGGGATTCTGGGAGTTGAAGTCCATATGTGTTGGCTGGGGCAAGGGGTCTCCAACCTCGGCCACTTTAAGACTGGTGGACTTCAACTCCCAGAATTCCTCCTCCTGTCAGGTTAGCTCATGAATTCTGGGAGTTGAAGTCCACACGTCTTAAAGTGGCCGAGGTTGGACACCCCCTGGGCTAGGGGCATTTTGGGGGGGCCTCAGGGTGCATCTGTGCTCCATCTGAATCCACCCTCCCAACAGCCCCCCCTGAGGAAAAGGTCACTCACAGGGTGCTGGAAGCCAAATTGGTGTCTTCGTGTTTCAGCTTTCCGTCCAGAGCCAGTCCACGTTTTTCCCGGTTGTTGGCCAGGAAAGGCGTCAGGGTGTAGACTTTGCAGAAGGTGGAGCTGGGGGCCACCATATCGCTGCAGGGAAGGGGCAGAAGGGACCAGGGGACAGGGTGCACCATCAGGGCGTGGCGGAATAATACAAAAGCTTAGTGCTGCCCTTTGCGGCTTTTCATTTCTCAGCGGGAATTAACAATAAAATGGTTGCGGATTGTATAAAGTCTCCTGCCTTGGGAAGGGGGCTGGAGGAGAAGACCTCCAGGGTCCCTTCTAGCCTTAGGATTCTATGATCATTCTCTCTCGCTTTCTCTCCATCACCTACTTATTTATCTCTATACCTCTTCTGTCTGTCTGTCTGTCTGTCTGTCTGTCTATCTATCTATCTATCTATCTATCTATCTATCTATCTATCTATCTATCTATCTATCTATCATCATCTATCATTTATCTACCTATACTATCTCTTATTTATTTCTTTATTTTGTCTTTTTGTCTATCATCTATCTATCTATCTATCTATCTATCTATCTATCTATCTATCTATCTATCTATCTATCTATCTATCTATCTATCATCATCATCATATCTATCATTTATCTACCTATACTCTCTCCTATTTATTTCTTTATTTTGTCTTTCTGTCTGTCTATCTATCTATCTATCTATCTATCTATC